TGTTTGGACACTTAATTTCCACATATGCTATACATGTACGAAAATTTAAGGAACAAAAGATGCAAATGTTAATAAAGTAAATGCTATTTTTAATGAAAGTAAATCCAATAATGTTTGTTATCTTCAAAAAATGAAATGGCAATAAGTGACATGATTTCAATATGGCGTAATTTAATTTTCTTATAGCCAATCATAACAGGAATCTATGCAAAAATATTTCTATTCTATTTGCAGTTCAATTTGAGTGAATTTTGCGTCAATGAAATAATTATTCTGGGTAAACCTAGCATGCAATTGATCTAAAAGTGTGCACCCAAGTAAACGCAGAAAGCATTGTGTGAATTTCTTAGCGGAAAAAGATGTGATGCAAAAACACAACATATATTTGTTTAATATAAATTTACTTTCCATTTTTCGATCGAGACTGTGCAAATACGTAATCTATGCTTTTGCGATATGAATAAAAAACATAAAAAACACTTGTTTGGCGTAGTCGTCAGTTATTCCTTTGTACTCTCCAATAAAAAATTATTTAGAGGTTTCTTATAATACACGCATCTTGATAATCAATACATGTTTTTTATCCCAGAAGTTATTGCTTGTGTTCATTTAATCAACTATTATATAATAACGAAACTATTGTATTGAATATTTTTGTAATCCTTTATATATCTTTATTAAGAAATGCATTATCATTTGGAAAAATATGTGGCGCAGCTGATATCAAAGGCAAAAAGTAGATAGATAAACACACAAAAAACAACAACAAAAAACATAGAGGCTTTTGCTTTTTTTCTGTAAATATTATTTTGATAAAATGTTTCCAAGAGTTATGTTTCTTAAAAGTAATAACGTGTAATATTTGAATTTATTTTATTTTTAAATTATTTGAAAATAGAAGGGTGTTTATGTATCATCCTAGTTGCGACTTTAAAATAGAAACACGGACAATATCTTTACAAAAGAAAGGAAAATTATTTTCCTGTTTACGAGAGAGTTTTGTCCGACATTTGTCAAAGGTGCTATCCCGTACACAACATATCGGTACAACTGGTTGAAATCAAAGTTGTTTTAAAGTGCCAAATTTATAAAAAGCTGGTATTTTTTCTAAGAGTAGTACATAATAACAGCTTAAGGTGCATGTATCACTAATTAAGCCTTTAGTGTGTTTTTCTTTCAATTGATCAAAGCATCGTTTGTGGTAAAGTTGCTTTAAGATTATTATAGTTCTTTTAATGGAAATATACACATTAAACAATTTATTTAAAACAGTAACTAAAAAAACGCTTGAGGACATTAAAGAACAGAATTTAATTTCATCAAGTGGTATGAAAATAAATATTTCACGAGTGGCGATAATTTTCATACTAGAGGATCAAATTAAATCATGTTTTTACAGAAAAAAAAATCCCATGTTAGTGCAAACCAAGATCTGCCATCTAAGCTGTCTTAAAATTCTCTGCAATTTTCGCTATTTGGTAAAAGAATATTTTGCAAATTTCCTGAAAAATGATGCATGATAATGTCCAGATACATGATTGACAAGTCTTTTATGGAAGGGTTTAGTCAATAAATAAATAAATAAGTAAATAAATAAATGTAAAAAAGTTATAAATAGATAAAAAAATATAAATAAATTAATATGTAAATGAATAGGTAAACAAACGAACGAACGATCAAACGAACGATCGAACGAAGAACGAACAAAGGAGCGAGCGAGTGAACGAGAGTTTGAGTGAATGACTGAATAAATAGGCAAATGAGTGTTAAGTTGTGAGAGTGAGTGAATAAGTGAGTGAATGAATGAATGAATGAATGAATGAATGAATGAATGAATGAATGAATGAATGAATGAAGATAATTTCATTTTAAGCCTATTTGCATTATGTACAACTATTTTGCAATGTGATGTATGCATTCCAACGATGGCATGCAACTTCACGACAGAAATAACACTTAACAAGTCAGAAGAAGACAAGACAACGAAAGATTATAATCAACGAGAGTAAAACAACTACGTAAAATTACAAATAAAAAAAACATGTTAACAATTTTTTTATTATTACTGTAAAACTGTTGTCCTTGCATTAAGAAATACAAGTGATTCTAGGGGTAAAATTATAAATTTATATTGATAGAATACCTTGTATTCAAATGGCAGTTAAATTAAGTTATTGTACATCTTTTTTCTTCATTGACATAAAGGTAAAACTTCTTCTGGACTCCCTACATGCAACCTCTTTTCTTTTTTATAGGAGAAGAAAATGATAAATTTAAAAGCAAACAAAGAAACAGGAAGAAAATATCTATTTATTTTAACCACAAGCTTGATCCATTTTAAAGACGTAAACAGCAATAGAAAAAAATTTATTACAAACAAAACAGATGTACTCGTAAATATTATATTTGACTTTGTTAAACGTTTTTTTTTAAATTATCGGGGTAAGTTTAATTTAAAAGCACATATTGTACTCATTTTATATTTTATATGTCACAATTTTAAATATTATTTTATACACAGTCTTTTGATGATTCAAAAGTAAAAAAAAATGAGTATGAAGACATTTACGCATGTACAATCTCATGTAGCATTTAGAAAATTAAGTAAAAGTTTTTTCTATAGATTTGAGCTATTAAATTGGCTACGAATAAGAGTGTTGTATGATTATTTATATGTATAGTAACACAGTGCAATAACGCTTTATATGATTTCGTGGATGCTGATACGCATGAATTGCTTTATTCAACGATATAAACATAAACAAAATTTTAAAGAAAATATAATTTTATAATGTCTGTCGTCAACCACTGTTTTAGAAATGGTTTGAAAAAAAATGAAGAGAAAAAAACGTATATAAAGGTCCGCACAAAACTAGGTTATTGGCACAGAATAGTGTCGAACAAATTTTCGGTACCGAAGGGCGAGGTATTACAGGTCGGTATTACGGAGCTCAAAAAATATTATCAGACATGACACCCTATGCTAGGCTTTAGGCATGATCATGATAATTTTCCACCATATGCATCTGAGTTTGTGAAGAAATATTTGAAATCGGAAAAGATGACGTTCTTGTCACACCCACCATACCTTAAAGATCTAGCCACATGCAACTTTATATTTTCCCAAAACTGAAAGAAATAATATCTGGTCGACGATACCAGTTTCGACAGACCATTTGGTCAACCATCAGTCAGAGTCTCAAATGTCTATCTAAACAAAATGAATTTATGTATTTCAAAAATCCGGAAACAAAGTGATCCATCAGAAGCAATTGTCACAACAAAATTACATTGCAGACTCGGTTTGATTGAGTCTGTACGTGAGGGATAATGCATAAGTGCAACATCCCTCACGCCACCTAGCACCGGCTTGAGCGGTACTCAATTCTCAAAACTTAATACTGCCGGCATCAATGATCCCGTAGGACCAGAAAAATAACACTAAAGTACGGGCAACTTTTTACAGCTGCCTGACAGCACTTGACACCTGCTGTTGTGAAATATATCAATCAGGAAACAATCAGGAAACAAAGTAAACTCTCGGAAGCATTAATCACAGCAAAATTACATGTTTGTGCTACTGGTCAAAAATATTGATTCATTAATGAGACTTAATCTAATTGCGACTGTGATATTTACAATAATCTATTGATTAACCTACTAGTATTCAATATTTATTTTTATGTATTAAATTGTCCTTTTTTCTTTGTGTTGTATTGTTAGTTTATTCATAAAAATTAATAGGGGTATAAGTTTATATTGATGACGCATCAACAAAATTACTAAGGTATGCATAGACCCACTCCAGTTATTCGAAACCATTTAGTCACCTCTTACTATCAAACATGGTTTTAAGGTGGAGACATTGTTGCTTAAATCAGTAAAGGCAAACACTAAATTACCAGGGGCTTGTACAAGTTAACCTTCATTACCAAAAAATGATATGGTTATATAAAGTGAGATTGTCCTTAAGATCACACAAAAAGACCATGCTACATGTGCTACGTGCAGATTAAATTAAAGTGTTTTGTAAGAGATGTTATTGTCATTACTATCTTTTAAAAGATCGTACCTTTTTAAAGCTATAAATATATTTACAATCCAAAAGGTATTTTGAAAAACAAAAAAAAGCTTTAGTGATTGTTCCACACCTCCCGTCATCATAATGCAAATCACGCAACAAAAACGTCCCTAAAGTGGACTTGACGACGTGATTGGTGGAGCAAACTTACTAAACTCCTGTTTAAAAGTATAAAGCGTTCATATAATGTTATTAACTAAAATAGTCCAGTTATAGCTATCACAGTAGCAATAATGTTTGGATATTGTTCATTGTCAGAAGTTGTTTTTGTTATCGTATTGTGCTACTCACAAGCGATTGAAGACGAGCCAACGTTTTCTAAATTTAAGTATGACAAACAAATGTTAGAGACAATGGTTAGAATGGAAGCAAAAATGAATCAGTGGGACAAAGAAAGAAAAATCTTCGAGGAGAATGTGCTTGCTATATTGGAACATCGAAGAGAGGAAATGCAAGAGAAATATTTGAAACAAGATGAAAAGCTGAAAAATATAGAAGGTAACATTGTGAAATAATGGTCTTGTATTTCTTTAATATGCCGTATGATTTTTTTTCTTCGGTCTTGATATTCGTATTTTTTGTTTAAACAAAAAGGGGCGGGGTCTTGAATAGCTGTGTACTTCATTTGCGCCGCGACGTTAACTTACAATGTTTTTATATATATTATTTTTTATATTCTGATATTACTTTATTTTAAATATTTGTATTTTATATTTTTTTTTATCTTTTTTTTTAAATTTATTTTTGTTTTTGTTGGTATGTGGGTATGTTCTAAGTCTTTTGGTTAAAAGAAAATAATTAACGTGATGCTATTTACATTAAATTGATCATTTATTGACAACATTGTAAATATCTTAACACTTACCTGTATATGTCAGTAGAACAAACTTAACAATAGAGAAAGTCACACCTTTTGAGCCACTGGTAAACGATAGTTTTCACTTCTTACCGGTCAGATTACTACACGACTAAATTAAATCTAACACAAATGTTCGTTATAGGGAATGTCAGTTTATATATTTAAAACCAACTTAGGTGGTTCCAGTATTCCTACCTGTATAATACTGTATGATCACACTTAGAATATGTTGCCTGCTTTTTAAACATGTCTTTCTGATGTCTATTCTGTGATATACAGGCTTCATAATCTCAGATCCCCTTATATATTTAAATTGCGTCCTAGTTAAGGGCACACATATTCTTGGCCATGGGGACAATACGGCGCTTTTCATGGAATAGCACTACTGTGTCACATTGAAGGTTCCATAATGACCGCCTCATTAAAACATCTGCAGATGTTTTTTAATTAAAAAGTTTAACCCTTTTTGTGTTTAAACGTTGATTTTTTCTTAAGCCGGTGCTGGGTGGCCTAGACGTTTACTTGCAGTTTCCATTCATTAACAGGCTTAACAAAACCAAGCCAGCAACATTTTGAATTTTGTCTTGTTGGGTTTTTTGGTGAATTCTGTTTTTTTTTTGTATTTTATTTCGTTAATATGAAATGTCAGTTTTGATTTTTAAGCAACATGCTTCCAGTTAAATTCCAATTATATATAAAAATGTGTTCAAATATTTACAAATTTATGTCTGTAACTGTAAAGTTTTTGTCATTTGATATCAGTATTTTTTTTATTGATTTTTGTAATAGAATGACAAATAAAATAACACTTTTTCAGGTTCTCTCATCAGCACACCAAAGATTGCATTCAACGCATACACGTTGTCCGGTGGAAAATATGTTAACAACCAACCCCTCATATTTCCATACGTTTTGCTAAATATGGGCGAAGGATATGACAAAGCAACTGGAATCTTTACAGCACCTGTTACTGGTCTTTACTTCTTCAGTGCCCACATATGTAATGAAAAAGCAAAGGCCATTGTCATCTCAATTGTCCACGAAGGAATTGTAGTCGCTACAACAACAGAGTACGGAAGCACTGACGACAGTTGCAGCTCTGTTAATGCTCCGGTTATGGTAAAGATGGATGGAAAAGTCTCTATCAAGTCTTCCTTTAGTTCCGGCGAGCTGAAAGCAGATACTACATACAGATGGCCATCCTTTGCTGGTGTACTTCTTCATGTCTAAAACAATTTATCTTTATTGTTATATGTTTGCTTTTACTCTCCCACTGACCTTTTTTTGAAAGCAAAATATAAATGTATCGATATGCAAAATCTTAAGACAATTATTACAGTTATTACTCTTCAAATAAATATTTTAACCACACTTTATTTCGTTATAATCAAAAACACCGTCTTTTTTTAAGAAAAAGGTGAATAATAATAATAATAATTATAATAAGTGTTGAATTCAATGTTTAATTTTATGTTTGCAATGTTTATATGAAGAAACTTTTAAATGTATCTAAATATGTAATTAAATTTGACGGTAAGCACTTATTATCATTGTTTTTAATGGATGCTTGTAAACTATGTTTTGCTAACATTTATGTAAAAAACAACTTTTTGTATTAAAAATAAAATATATATACTCATATTATTTGTTTTCTTGATGAATACAATCTTAATTACAAACAGGTGCCTAGTTGACAAAAAAGAAACCGTATCTCTGATTTATTTAAAGATCGATGTATAATTTCGAATCAGCAAGTCTATACAGGCATAATTATTGTGGTGTTGTGCAAATGTAATATGTATGTGGTAGTAGATAAAACAAAACACTGCACTGTTTTGAAAGCCTGTAAAATGCAGTGTATACCATGTTTTGCAATAACAAATACTTGTTACTTTCGATCACTGTTTCTTTCCTGAGGTCTAATCAGTTTATCTAGTAAATTTCTTGTAATAACACGCGGCACACGTGATTATGCACTGTGTTCATTTGTTTTATGCGCATGAGTAAAACCAATTATGCCAATGGTTCACTGCATTATCAAAATAATCATTGAAAAGCTTATGTTCTATGATTTATCAATGTGTGTATTAATTGTTAATCATCTCAATCCTCGGTGCAAATCTGGTTATATCATTATTCGACAAATGGTCAATAGTCTATGGTTTGACATTACAGACGTAAATAAAGGAAAACAAGCAGTCACACTACAGACATAAATAAGGAAGAAAAAAAAGACCATCACACAAATAAGAAATTATACAGAAATTCATGTCGGGACTTAAGAAAATGTCGATTTAGCGTGAATTGAGTACACAAGACAATTTTTTAACAGTTTTGTCATTAATTTGCCTCATTTAAAAGGATAATACGAGACGTGAAAATTAGCTTTGATAATTGTTATATTTATATTTCAAATGAATTATTATTAGTACTGTGTTGCAATAACTCTTTTGTTTCATTTGATAATAAACAATTTTATGATAGATTGACAAATAATAAAAAAATAGCTAGTAAAAATGTCGATACAATCTTTAAATATACATTTCTAAATTTATATTTATTGTAGATTTATAGTTACGTACGTACTTCTTTCTTGTTGGAAAAGTTTCAATTTACATTTGGTAGTAAAAACAATGTTGAGAAAAAAAACTACTAAAAATTTCAAATCCTTACAAAGTCAATTGTTATAGTCCTCATTTAAATGTTTAGTACATCCAGCATTTTATATGATGCATAATTTTTTTTTTATTTACGTTGAAGACAAAGAGCGAGATACATTTTGGGGTAGATCGTAAGAAATTAAAATATGTTAAGACAGCGAATGTTTTAGTTTCAAGCGAGTTTAAATAAATATTAAAAGCTGTCGTCAAGATATGCACGACGCAGAAGAAAATAAGAAGTCATGAACATCAAATGTTTTCTTTTCTTAATAATGAAGTAATGAAGTTTTAAATTGAATTTGATAGTAATTGAATTCTATTGTTTTATGTAGTATCAAGAGACAATTGTTTCTTTTATAGGAACGCAATAAAATGTAAAGACATTTTACTATTAATTTTTGTCTCTAGATAAAGCATTTCTGATCAATTCTATACAGCAAATTCAGGATTGATTTACGAAGAACGTTCATCCGACTTTTACACTTTTAAATAGGATAGATAATACTATAAATATATAATTTAGGGTCGATTTTAGTAAACATTATAATACAATATATATTTAGGGCCGATTTTAAGTAAAAAATATATTCGAAATATACCATTAATGAAAAAATGGATAAAAATGCCACAAAACAACAAATTTTCTTCAAAGGTATGTGTAAGGCCGTGTTTCAATAAAACAATAAAAAAAACTCGAGTTTAGGTAACTCCAGTATTTTTTAACATTTTCTGTTAATAAATACCCATTACTTCATATAGATGTCCTTTTACGCCTTTTTATCCCCAATAAATTTTTTAGGCCTCATACGGTGAAATGCCCTATTAAGACCCTAAACACTTGTTTTCGTTTGTGAAATGGTGTTAAAAAGTGATCACTTTTTCGGCGACCTCCCATATCAAATAGATACATCGAGGGGTGCCAGAGGGGTGTGTGCCCCTTCTGCTTAGGGTTTGAAGGGGGTCAATAGACCCCCTCATCTCCCAGAAAGTTTTTTTTACTTTTCTGAGGCTGAAAATAGCGTATGGCGACCTTAAGGTAATATGTAACCAATGTTAAAAAGCCTTTGACTCTATCTCAATCCATTGAGAAGTTGCAACACTTTGAAATCAGTTTTGATGGAAAAATCAAAACAAAATAGAGATTTTGGGCAATTTTAAGATGTACCCTCGTTTCCATAGTAACAGAAAATTTAGATTTGAGTATGCCGTTGCAAAGTGTATGGTCCGGTTAACATTTGTGCTAAGTTTGAACAGTATCGAAACCATTTTGATATTTTCATAGCAATTTGAACTTGTAATAGGAGGTTTATCAATGAAAACAGCAATTTTTTACAAAATGCTTATGAACTTATGGGTTAAACATGTCATTTTTTATTTAAATTTACCGGGTTTGCAATAAAATGAGTTTTGCAAATCTCGGTTTTATTGCAAAGCTGGTTGTGAGAAAATTGTAACAATATTTTGTCATTAGAACGAGATTTGCAATAATGATTTCTCAAAAGTTGTTTTATTACAAAACCGGTTGTAAAAAAGCAAACGGCAGGCTCGAGGAAAAAACGAAACCTATGAACAACGCCCAAAACGAAAAGAACTGAAGATGTTGCAAACCTAGATTGTGCTTATTCTTGGACGATAGTAGTAATTGCAAGCTTCCAAACAATATACCTTCTCGCAACGGACATTAAATGTGGAATGTTTACATTTCAATGACCTTAAACTTTGGGATGGGGGGGGGGGGGTTGGGGTTGGGGTAAGCATTAAAACGTAGCTCGCATTACCATTTCATTCTACCACATTTAAATCGGATTGATATTGTTATTGCTTTAAAGGGTATCACATGACATAAAGAAAACAAAACTTAAGTTGTAAAGCAAATGCACATTCACTTCCGTATTCAGTTTGTTGGGAGTGGAATCAATGGTCAGCACTTAAGGGAAACTGACGGCTTTATGCATGACATTGTAACTGCCTCTCCTTGTTTTTAGGAGCGATAACAGTTACTATGAAGTTTAAATACATAGCAAATTGTTTCATTTCATTTTTTTCCCTTATTGTCATTTAAGTTTCATTCATTTGTGTGGAGACAATTGCCTGATTTAATTTTGAATGGTCAATCAGATTTAGAAATATTTTTATTTAAGTATCATCAGTGTGAAATTCATTACACACATATATACAATTATTACAAATACGTATTACATTGTATTGGTAGGGGTATGAGGCACTTACTACAATGTGAGACATTTAATCTTTCTTCAACTGAAAGTGAGATATTCTTTTCAGCAACTGACATAATATAGGACGCTTATTTTCAATATAATATCAAACAGTCGCCCAAGGTGTAACATAAATAATTGAGCATTGCGGTAAATCGCACGACCACGTGGATGGTTAAAACAATGTAGTTGCTAAAATATCCATTATGTGTGAAATAATAATTTGTTGTCCCATAATTTGATAGACATTACATTGAGTTTATGGACTTTGTACGGATTCAAGAGCTGGCTTTACATTTAACCTCGTTTTGCAACAATGACAAAAAAAAAAGAAGTAGATAACAGACAATATTTTTAAGTGAAAGCCTATACATTACTGGTGGTTAGATAGGTGTCTCTGACACATTTTATTAACTATTTTTTTTATAGTCTGCGGATTTTTTTCTTTATGAATCAATAAAAATGATATGAAAATATATTTTCAGTGAATGTTGTGTATAAATTGTTCGCCAGTAAGTCAAACACATTTCTAATAAACCTGGGACAAAGCATGAAATTAAATTATTGTATAGCCCAAATAAGACTGAATTTCTATGCCGTGCATAGATGAGTATTCATGGTAATAGAAGTCTGGAAGGTCAGATCATCAAATTGATCGAGTTATACCATTTATTTATATTAAAATATATCAAGCATTTATATGAATATGGCGGAAAAAATATAATATCCAGTTGTTACTTGTACATCGTACCACGGACCTATTAGTCCTTCTGGAGTTTAGTTTTTTATTATTTTAATTTATATTAACGGAATTTCATACAAGAATACACAGGCCGAGTGACACTAGAATAATATAATAATAATGATGATGATAATAATAATAAACTTCAAAAGAGAAACAATTAAATACCCCGCAAGCGGTACGAACATTAAATGCGTTTCATCCCCCCCCCACCGAGTGCCTCAATTTTTACTGATAGTCACATGACATGTGGACAGATACCAGACGGACAGTAAATCACGTTAAGAGTTGAAGAAATAATGCTATAAAATGATATTTATTAGACGCTTTTTAATTGGTAAAATATCAGTGGGTCATAAAAAGTTATTAGAATATGTTTGTGCAACTAGTGCCCCCTTTGGCGTGATATTTGTCTGCTAGGCAATAATGTAGCATGAAACGTAGGGTATGAGAGGGGAAAGCCTATTTATGATAATTCGTTTGAAGCAGTCAGTCTTACTTTGAATCGACATAACTTTTTTAAAAATCAAGCAATTTACATGCGGTTTAAAGCACATGAAAGGGAATTTTTCAACGGAGGAAGTTTTGTCAGGGATTTATGTTTGCTTAATCAGCGACTTAATTATATTTCATTACATAATATGTATTGTTAAAAATGGGGCATAAAATGTTTAAAGTTACGTAGTATGTTTTTGAGAAAAGAGACATGATTCCCCAGATATTATAATCATGTTTATATTCCAAAAATCTGGAAACAAAGTGATCCCTCGGAAGCATTAATCACAACAAAATTATAAGAGAATTGTGTGGAGACAATTGCCTGATTTAATTTTGAATGGTCAATCAGATTTAGAAATATTTTTATTTAAGTATCATCAGTGTGAAATTCATAACACACATATATACAATTATTACAAATACGTATTACATTGTATTGGTAGGGGTATGAGGCACTTACTACAATGTGAGACATTTAATCTTTCTT